TGTTTCAGGCTTCTTAGGGTATATTCCTAGAAGTGGGATCACTGGTCAAATGGCAATTCAATTTTTAATTTTTTGAGGTAACACCATATTGTTTTCCATAGTGGCTGCACCAGTCTGCATTCCCACCAGCAATGTACTAGAGTCCCCTTTTCTTTAAAAAATTTTTTTTTTTTTATCCTCACCTGAGGACATTTTTTGATATTTTGTTCATATAGAGTGGGAGAGAGAGAGAGAGAGAGAAACATTGATGTGAAAGGGACACATCGAGTGGTTGCCACCCACACGACCCAACCAGGGCCAGGGACAAACTGCAACCGAGGTACGTGCCCTTAGCGGGAACCGAACCGGGGTCTCTCCAGACCGCAGGCCAATGCTCTAACCGCTGAGCCAAACTGGCCAGGGCTAGAGTCCCCTTTTCTCCACACCCTTGCCAACATTTGTTTGATGATTTGTTGATGGCGGCCATTCTGACAGGTGTGAGGTGATACCTCATTGTTGTTTTAATTTGCATCTCTCTGATCAGTGGTGTTGAGAATTTCTTCATATGTCTCTTGGCCATTTATATGTCCTGTTTGGAGAGGTGTCTCTTTAGGTCCTCTGCTTATTTTTTAATTGGGTTTTTTGTCTTTCTTTTGTTGAGTTGTATGAGTACTCTTTATGTTTTGGAAATAAACCCCTTATCTGATGTATCGTTGGCAGTGATGCTCTCCAATACAGTGGGTTGCTTTTCCATTTTGATGATTGTTTCTTTTGCTGTGCAGAAGCTTTTGAGTTTGATGTAGTCCCAAGTGTTCATTTTCTCCTTTATTTCTGTTGCCTTAAGTGATGTATCAGTGAAAATTCTGCTGCGTATAATGTCTGAAATTTTGTTGCCTACATTTTCTTCTACGATTTTTATGGATTCCCGAGTCACATTTAAGTCTTTTTTAACCATTTTGAGTTCATTCTTGTGTGTGGTGTAAGTTGATGGTCTAGTTTCATTTTTTGCATGTAGCTGTCCAATTTTTCTCTCTTATGCTTTTTATGTTTGTAGGATTTGTACTGTTATTTCATCTTTCATTTATTCCTGATAATGGTAGCTTATGTTTTCTTTTTTTTCTTCTTGATCTGTCTAGCTTGAGGTTTATCAGAGAACCTTTTAGTTTCATTGACATTTCTCCATTGTCCATTCTTATTCCATTGAGTTCATCAAGGTTTCTCTTCATCCACCACTCTTCATTGACCCATAGAAAATGTCTCTTACCATAGGAGTGAAGGTCTTTCTTTTATTTATTTATTTATTTATTTTCACATCTTTATTGTTGGATGTAAAATGTATTACAGATGTTCCACATTCTTCCCCCATTGACCCCCTCCTCCCCACTCCCGCCCGCCTCCCACCTTTTCCCAAACTATTGTCCGTGTCCATTGGTTATGCATATAAGTTCTTTGGTTTATCTCTTCCCACCCCCCAACCCCTTTCCCTTTGAGGTTTGTCAGCCTAGCAATGAATTTGTGCTTCTTTATCCCTTCACCTTTTTCACCCATTTCCCCAACCCCCTTCCCAACTGGCAACCAACAAAATGTTCTCTGTGTCTATGAGAATGTTTCTGTTCTTCCTGTTCATTTTGTTTGTAGATTCCATTGTCGATAGATATGTATTCATTGCCATTTTGTTTGTTCATACATTTTATCTTTTTCTTCAAAAAGACCCTTCATCATTTCATATAATAACGGTTTGGTAGTGATGAACTCCTTTAACTTTTTCTTGTCTGGGAAAGTTTTTATATGTCCATCGATTCTAAATGACAGCTTTGCAGGATAGAGTAATCTTGGTTGTAGGTTCTTGCTTTTCATCACTCTGAATATTTCTTGCCACTCCCTTCTGGCCTGCAAAGTTTCTTTTGAGAAATCAGCTGACAGCCTAATGGGAACTCTCTTGTAGGTAACTAGCTGCCTTTCTCTTGCTGCTTTTAAGATTCTCTCTTTGTCTTGAACCTTTTGCATTTTGATGTTGATGTGTCTTGGTGTGGGCCTCTTGGTGTTCATCTTGTTTGGGACTCTCTGTGCTTCCTGGACTTGTATGTCTGTTTCCTTCACCAAGTTAGGAAAGTTTTCTGCCATTATTGTTTCAAACAGGTTTCGATTTCTTGTTCTCTCTCTTCTCCTTCCGGCACCCCCATGATGCAAATGTTGGCACGCTTGAGGTTGTCCCAGAGGCTCCTTACACTATCCTCATTTTTTTGGATTCTTTTTTCTTTTTGCTGTTCTGATTGGGCGTTTTTTGCTTCCTTATATTCCAAATCGATGGTTTGCTCCCTGGATTTATGTACTCTATTATTGAAGCTATGTAAATTATTCTTTATTTCAGTTAAAGCCTCCTTCGTTTCTAACTGTGCATCGATCATTTCTGACACGTCCTTTTTTATGCTCTTGAGGCCCTCACTGAGTTCATTGAGCATCCTTATAAGCAGTATTTTGAACTCAGCATCTGTTAGGTTGCTTATCTCCATTTCGCTTAGTTCTTTTCTTGAGGTTTTGTTCTGTTCTTTCATTTGGGACCTGTTTCTTTGTCTCCTCATTTTGGCTGCCTCCCTGTGTTTGTTTCTGTGTATTACTTAATGAGAGGTATGGGGCTCGCTGAGACCCGATGCTGCTCGTTTGAAAGAATTTAGGAAAAACCTGAAGCAGGATCCAAGACCGGCCAATCCTATGGTTAAACAAGTGGCAACAGTTTGGGTGGGCTTGAAAGTTGTGTGGGGAGGGGCGGGGCCTCAGGGAGTCAGCAGGGCGGGGCTACCAGTGTGAGCCAGGTTGCTGGAGTCCCAGATATGAAGACTGTCTGCCGCCCCGGGAAGGGCTCACCAAAGGAACAAAGGGCTCTTACGGCACGTTTGTCCCTGAGAAAGCCCCCTCTCCAGCCCTCGCTCCAGTGCCAAACAGCTCAGTTCTTTCCTGTGTGTCTCTGGCGCCCCATGAGCTGCCTCCCCTCCAAGCTTAGAGGGAGAGAGTCCGGTAAGTCCGTGCGTGGGCCCTTTAGGGAGCTGCCTGGGGCTCCAGCCACCTCAGCTTCCCTGAGCCTCAGTTTCCGCTGGTTTTTCCAGCCAGAAGTTATGGGGACTTCTCTTCCTGGCACTGGAACCCTGAGCGGGGCACCTGGTGTGGGATGAGGACCCCTCAGTCCTAAGGAAGGACCTTCCCAGCCGCGGGAGCCTCCTGATTTTTATCCGCCACACGTGGGTGTGGGACCAGCCCGTCGAGCTGCCGCGCCCCCGCTGCCACCCCTTGCGCCGCCGCCACTCCTACCAGTCTGGATGTAGCTGCTTTTTTTTTTTAATTCCGTAGTTGTAGGACTTCCATTCAGCTTGATTTCAGGCGGTTTTGGATGATGGTTGTTCTGTAGTTTAGTTGTAACTTTGATGTTGAAGGTCTTTCTTGTTTTGCATATCCCAACCTTCAGAATTGGAATTTCTCTTTATGTATACTAATTTTTAGTTATATCAGACTACTTAAAGTCCCCAAATCATTTGACTGCTTACCAACCAATCTTATCCATATGGCTTAGTATTTACTTATTGTATATCTAGGTATTAAAACAAATAACTTGATTACTGTAGTCTTAAATTGAGACTCTCTGCTTCTCTTGATTGAATTCTTCATTTTTAGCATGATTAAAAATTCGTGACACTTGTCAACAGCAATAGAAAATTAAGTGGCATATTTTATCAAAGTTGTAAATAGATTTATTGGAGCCCTATTGTGTTCTAACTAACATGATTTTGTGAAAATTCAATATATGAAAATTTAAAATTTTGACATACAAATTTGGGAATGAGTCTTCATGGTATAGGGACAGGACCAATGCTAGTATATGCATAATGACTTTAGAACAAAACTTGAGTGGGCAGATTATAAAAAGATGCCCCTTTCTGCTCCAGACTTGGTGCCCCCCCTTTTCTCATTGACAGGTACCCTCATTCTATCTCTACAACTGTACACAGTGAATCTTAATCAGGAAAAAATTTTATTTGCTTTCTTATAACATATGAGAGAAACTTATAAGAAATTACAAAGTAGAAGATTTATATTGGACAGCCATTAATATTTTTTTCTTCTTTATAAAAGTAAGCTCAATTATTGCTACTGCTTTTAACTTGCTTCTTGTTTAACAGTACATTAGCATCTCCTGGAAAGTCTATTACTGAAGAATTACTGTAAACATTTACACATGTTTATTAGCAAATCTGAGAGGCTATAGGGGAAGTAATTGTCAGAGATAATAAAATCAAGATATTTAAATGTACCCCCATGTTCATAGCAACACTATTTACAATAGCTAAGATCTGGAAACAGCCCAAGTGTCCATCAGTAGAAGAATGGATAAAATAGCAGTGGTACATATATACAATGGAGTACTATGCAGCTGTAAGAAAGAAAGATCTCTTATCCTTTGAGACGACATGGAGGGATCTGGAAAGTATTATCCTTAGTGAAATAAGCCAAGCAGAAAAAGACAAATACCACATGATCTCACTTATATACGGAATATAATGAACATAACAGTCTGAGGAATACGGTAGACCCAGAAACATAGAAGTAGGGCACAGACTGACATCCGTCAGAAGAGGGGGTGGGGAGGTTGGAAGAGATAAACCACAGAACTTATATGCATGTATGCATAACCAATAGACATGGACAACAAAGCCAGGGACGGGGCGGGTGTGGGGTGGGTAGGGGGTGCCAGTGGGGTAAAAAAGGAGAAACATCTGTAACAAAAAAATAAATAAATAAATTAAAAAAAATAAATAAAATCAAGATATTTAGAATTTGTGTTCCAGTGCTTTGCATATAACAAGCACTGAAACATGTTGATTGAATATTAAAATTTTATAATAAGTAAAAGGAAACCCTTAAATTTATGAAAGTGGTTTATCTGCAACTTTAGGAATGAATCAGCCTATCCTAGATGCAAAATACACTATGATTAAAGCATTAAAAAATATCTTATTTTTGTTTTATAGGTATCTTGCAACATCCAGATGGCACAGTTTTGAAACAGCTACAGCCACCTCCAAGGGGTCCAAGAGAGCTAGAATTCTATAATATGGTAAGTGAGGTAAGATTTGTTTGTTGTATTCAAAATGTTTTTCAGTTTTCTGGTCGTGACTTAGTAAGAAATATATTTGATAGCATGTTTTTTTTTTTGTTTGTTTGTTTTATTTTATTGTATTTTATTGGTATATGCCCCTAGTGGGAACCGAACCCTGAACTCCCTGGTCCGCACGCCAACTCTCCAACCACTGAGCCAAACTGGCCAGGGCTGATAGCATGTTTTAGTGTTAATGTGGGTGTGTGTATCTGAAACAAAAGCTTGATGAAATACAATGCTTATCTTGACTGATGCAGCCTAGTATTTTCTATTCTGATCCACCGAATTGATTTTTATTAATGGCTTGTGACCTACATTTTCAAAAACACCTAACTGAGAGACTATTTGTAGTTCTCAGAAATGCTGAGTTTAAGTGTTTTCACTACAGCATTTCTTAGCCTAGTGCTAATGTGAACTGTGTGTCTCCAAAGCAGGCGGATAGAGGGCAGATTTAACATCTAATTAACCATATGGCTAGGAACACTATTTAATACATTCATAATGATTTGCAACCATCACCTCTGACTAGTTACAAAACATTTTCATCACCCCAAAGAAAACTCTGTTAACTCTGAAGGCATGATGCCCTGTTCCTCATTCTTCCCAGTCCCTGCTAACCACCAGTCTACTTATACAATGTGTGACCTTTTATGTCTAGTTTCTTTTTAGTCTAATGTTTTTAAAGTACTCTTACATTATATTATGCATTAATACTTTCCTCCTTTTTTATGGCTGAGTAATATTCTGTTATACTTACCACATTTTGTTTATCCATTCACCCATTGGTGGACCATTGGGTTGGTTCCACGTTTTGGCCCTTGTAAGTAGAGCTTCTATGAACATTCATATACAAGTATTTGTTTGAGTACCTGTTTCCAATTTTTTTGAGTATATATCTAGGACAGAAATTTCTGGATTATATGATAATTCTACATTTAACTTTTTGAGGAACGGTCAGGTATTTTTCCATTTATCTTCAGATAGAGTGAGAGGGAGGAGGGAGGGAGAGAGGGGCAGAGAGAGAGAAACATCAGTGTGAGAGAGACACGTCTATTGGTTGCTTCCTGCTTGACTCTGGCAACAGAGGTATGTGCCCTTGACCTGAATCGAACCCGCGACTCTTTGGTCCTCAGCTGAGCCAAACCGTCCAGGGCTCATTGTGGTTTGTTTTAATTTGCATTTCTTCTATTGGCTAATGATGTTGGACATCTTTTTATGTACTTAGTGACCATATGTAAGTCTTCTCTAGAGTAAATTCTGTTCAGATTCTTTGTTCACTTTTTTATTGGGTTGTCTTTTTTTATTTAGTTGTAGTTCTTTACATATTCTAGATACAAGTCCCATATCAGATATATGATTTGCAGATATTTTCTTCCATTCTTTAGGTTGTTTCTTCAGGTTTTTCATAGTGTCCTTCAAAGCAAGAATACTTTTAAATATTGAAGTTCAGTCTGTCTTTTTTTTTTTGTCACTTGTGCTTTTGGTGTCATGTCTAAAGACATGAAGATTTATGCTTAACGATTTCTTCTAAATGTTAAGTCTTTAGCTCTTAAGTTTATGTACAAGTTACAAAAACTACAAGCTAAAGTTAAAAAACAAGTACTACTAGCCCTGGCTGGTTTGGCTCAGCGGTTAGATCGTTGGCCCGCGGTCTGGAGAGACCCGGGTTCGGTTCCTGCTAAGGGCGCGTACCTCGATTGCAGTTTGTCCCCGGCCCTGGTTGGGTCATGCGGGTGGCAACCACTCGATGTGTTCCTTTCACGTCGGTGTTTCTCTCTCCCTCTCTCTTCCTCCCACTCTATCTGAACAAAAAAAATGGAAAAATGTCCTCGGGTGAGGATTAAAAAATCCCCAAAAAACAAGTACTACTATACATTCTTTACCAATGTTAATTCATTTAATTCTCACAACTAACCTGTGAGCTGGATCATTGTCCTCATTTTATACATGTGTACATTAAGGCATAATTAGTTTAAATAATTTGGTCATGATCATGCTAAAGTAAAGGGTGGTCCCAGGAGTTGAACATAGGCAGTCTGGCTCTAGAATGTATGTTTTTAGCTGCTACATAATGCTTCTTTTTTGAAGAAAGTATTTTATATTTACTCTGTAAAAGTCTTATACATAATTTGTTGGATTTATTCTAGGTACCTTTTTGTTTCATTGTGAACAGTATTTTTTAAATTAAGTGTTGCAATGATTGCTAAAATATAAAAATGAAAGAGGTATTTGTTTAGTATTCTTTGTCTAATAATCTTGCTGAACTCTTTTTAACTTGTATTTATCTGAGATTCTCTAACAATTTTAATTAATTTCTATATAGACAATTATCTCTTTTGTGATTGGAAGTTTTGTTTGTCCCTTTTTAATCCATATACTTCTGTTAAGGACTTTTAGTTCAGTGCTTTTAACATTTCCATGTTGAAGTATGCTTTTCTCTCTTAAGATTTTGGTAGGTACTTCTTCCTAGGTTAAGGAAATTGCCTTTTGTGTGCATTAAGGTCCTGTCAAGAAACAAATGATGCACTCTGTAAGTTTAATAAAGGGATTGTTTTCAAAGGTGTGGTCAGTTTAAGGCCACCTACAACAGATAATGCTGTACCATCCCTGGGCCTGCAAGGGCAAGGAGGGGAGTGGTTACTGAAACCCAGGGGAGGTAATTTTATGAGAAGATATGAACTGATAAGGAGGGAACTAGAGAAGTAAATAATCTGACCTCAACTCATCTACCCTCCACTCTCTTGTACCAGCTCAGAGAATGACAAGAGGACAAGGGATTCCACTGATGCGGTTGATTCAGGCCATCTTCTTGGGTAGAAATTGTGGAGGTGGAAAGGGAAGATATACAGTATCCTCTCTATTTTTATTTTAGGAAACAATTTAAAGTATATGATGAATAGGTATTGAACATTTTTTAGCTACTTTTCTGTATCTATTGAAATGATCATATGAGTTTTCTCCCTTAACGATTAATATTATAAGTGCCATAATAGATATCTAATATTACATCGCCTTTTATTTTTGGAATAAACCTACCAGGACATGTCCCTTTTATGTTTAATAGGCATTACTGAATTTTGTTTGTTAGTATTTTATTTCAAATTTTTTCATCTGTGCTCATAAGTGCAAGTTTCCTATTTTCTTCACATATTGTCCTTGTTTGGTTTTGATATCAAGTTTCTGTTAGCCTAATAAAATGTGTTGAGGAGCATTTCTTATTCTATTTTGTGGAAGAAATAGAATTTCTCTTTCTTCCTTTCCATTCTTTTCCCTTTTATTCTTTTCTTCATTTCTGGAAAGGGATATATTTTAAACCAGCGATTCAGTGTCTTAAATGTCTTGATTTTGTTTGTTTTGTTAAAGTGTTAGTAAAATATAGTTAGATTAGATTTTTATACAAAATTGTCCACTTGGTCAAGTTTTTCATAGTGTTTATAAAAAGCTCTGCTGTATCTAGTTGTGACTCCTTTTTATTCCTAATATTGTTTATTTGCTGCTTCTCTTTTTTTCTCAATCAGGTAGCCACCAGCTTTCTTGCAGTGTAGTGGTAGGAGAAGGGAGAAGGATGCCAGAGTTTTTAACTGTTCAGTATTTAGATTTTTATTTGCTCTTGTTTCAATATAACTTGGTCTTCATCTATACCTGGACCCTAAGTTCAGAGATTCTTTGGTTCAAGTCTTTAGTTTGGACCTCTGTGAAAACCAAACATTATTGCTCAGCTTAATGCTTTTTTTTTAATCCTCACCCGAGGACATTTTTCCATATTTTATTCAGATAGAATAAGAGGGAGAGAGAGAGAGAAACATCGATGTGAAAGGGACACATCGAATGGCTTCCACCCACACAACCCAACCAGGGCCAGAGACAAACTGCACCTGAGATACATGCCCTTAGCAGGAACTGAACCCGGGTCTCTCTGGACTGCAGGCCGACACTGTAAATGCTGAGCCAAACCGACCAGGGCTCAGCTTAATGCTTTTGGTTTCCTCTCTATTATTTATGCCTGTGAATTTCCTTTTCTTTTCCTCTTGGGAGCGCAGCTGTGCATTTTATTTATTTACTTATTTATTTGTTTTCCTCACCAGAGCATATTTTTCCATTTATCTTCAGACAGAGTAGAAGGTGGGAGGGGGCGTGGAGAGAGAGAGAAAGAGAGAAAGAAAGAAACATTAATGTGAGAGAGACACATCGACTGGCTGCCTCCCACACGACCCTGACCAGGGCCGAGGATGAACCATAACTGAGGTATGTGCCCTTGATTGGAATCGAACCCGAGACTCATTGGTCTGAGGGCCAACACTCTAACCACTGAGCAAAACCAGCCAGGGCTCAGCTATGCATTTTTATTTATTTATTTATTCTATTTTTTTTTTCATTTTACTTATTTATTTATTTAATTAATTTATTTTTGTTACAGATGTTTCTCCTTTTCCCCCCACTGATTCCCCTGTCCCCTCCCTCCCCGCTCTGTTCCCAACTTTGTTGTCCATGTCCATTGTTCATGAATACATGCATGTAAGTTCTGTGGTTTATCTCTCCCCCACCACTCCCTCTCCTGGGGATTGTCAGTCTGTACCCCACTTCCACGTCTCTGGGACTATCCCATTTCTCAGACTGTTATGTTGATTATATTCCACAAATAAGTGAGATCATATGATACTTGTCTTTCTCTGTTTGGCTTGTTTCACTTAGGATAATATTTTCCAGGTCCCTCCATGTCATCTCAAAGGATAAGAGATCTTTCTTTCTTAACAGCTGCATAGTACTCCATTGTGTATATGTACCACAGCTTTTTTTATCCATTCGTCTACTGATGGACATTTGGGCTGTTTTCAGATCTTAGCTATTGTAAATAGTGCTGCTACGAACATGGGGGTACATACATTCTTTCTGATTGGTGTTTCAGGGTTCTTAGGGTATATTCCTAGAAGTGGGATCACTGGGTCAAATGGCAGTTCAAGGCTGGTACAATATTCGCAAATCAATAAATGTGATACACCACATAAAATGAAAGATAAAAATCACACGATCATATCTATAGATACTGACAAAGCATTCGACAAAATCCAGCACCCATTTCTGATAAAAACACTCTGCAATCTGGGAATAGAGGGATCATGTCTCGACATAATAAAGGCCATATATGAAATACCAACAGCCAACATCATACTCAATGGGCAAAAATTAAAAGCATTTCCCTTAAGAACAGGAACAAGACAAGGATGCCCACTTTTGCCACTCTTATGTAACACAGTACTGGAAATCTTAGCCACAGCAGTCAGACAGGAAGAAAAAATAAAAGCGATCCAAATTGGAAAGGAGGAAGTGAAACTGTCATTATTCGCAGATGACATGATACTATATGTAGAAAACCACAAAGACTCCATCAAAAATTTACTAGACTTAATAAATGAATTTGGCAAAGTAGCAGGATACAAAATTAACGTCAAGAAATCGATGGCATTCTTATACACCAATGAAGAACTCCTAGAAAGAGAAACTAAAAAAAAATCCCATTTACCATCGTGGCAAAAATTAAGATACCAAGGAATAAACTTAATCAAGAAATAAAGGACCTATTCACAGAAAACTACAGGTCATTGAGAAAAGAAATAGAGGAAGATATAAAAAAGTGGAAGCACATACTTTGTTCATGGATTGGAAGAATTAACATCATCAAAATGTCCATACTACCCAAAGCAATCTATAGATTCAGCTATGCATTTTTAAAATATTCATTATATTTTATCCTATATTTCTAGGTAAAAACCTTTTTTGGTTATCTTGTCTGTCATGTTGTAGTGAATACTACTGTAAAAAAATGTTTAAGAAGAAGAGAAAATTGACCTCTCTGCTTTTCTAGTTCTTTTATGTTTTTCACTTATAAATGTATCATGAACTCTAGCTCAGTACATAGAGGTGTACTTGGGTCCTCCATCTTGTTACATCATCATGAACACTGCCCTCATTGTCATTGTGCCAGGAACAGAGGGATAATAAAGTACACCCTGCTCTTAATTTTACCTTGGCCTGGAAGTGACTACTATCACTTCTGCTCACATTTCAACAGGGGAGGTTGGGAAATACAATATATCACATGGATATTTGGTGAGTCTCTGACATACCTGAGTTAATTCTATAGAATTATGTTTGTATGTAACTACTGGACATTAGTATGGTTTCACATAGATAATGAGAACTCTAACACTAAGAATTTATAAGCATTTTATAGCTGAGAACTTGAATGGTTTTGTGTAATTAGGTAGACCATATTTGAAAGAATTAGTTAAATAAAATATCTTACAAGTTATTTTTAAGACACAAATATTTTCTTTTCTGTTCAAGGGAGAAAATTAAGTCTAGTTCCAGGATATCTAGACATTTCTAGTATTTTCTAGAATTATTACTGCTTATAAATTAAGGAATTAAATGAGCAATGATTAGAATTACATTGAGGGAAAGGATTTTTTTTTTTTAGAAAAGGTAAAATCACAACTTCCTTACAGATATAAAATACTTATTATTTAATAAGGCAACCAGGCAGATGTTAAGTCAGAGAAGCACAAATTTATATGGACTAATGGGAAGTTAAAATGAATTTATGTGTGGACACTAAACTCCCCCCTTCCATGGGGTGAGGAGGGAAGTCCATTGAACCTTCTTTGGCCAAAATTATTTACAAGTATATGGACAAGAATTATTTTGCATTTGCTAAGAATTTTCTACACCTTACTTTGTTGTAAAATAGTTCAAGGACAGTGAAAGGCTAGAAGTAGATAATCAAGAAGAACGTACCCTAAACAATACATAGTTTTTCATTGGAAATACAGTACTTTTTTTTTTCTTCTTATTCTAAATTTACTTCCAGTTGAAACTCATGCCAGATAAATTATGATCAGCAGTATTATTTTATTTGAGAAATGTGTAGGGCAATTATAAAATATTAAAAGAAACTAACATGCAAGTTATATTTCTCTGTTTCAGGTTTGTGCTGCTGATTGTACTGATGGTGTTCTTTTAGAGCTACGAAAATATTTGCCAAAATATTACGGCATCTGGTCACCTCCCACTGCGCCAAATGGTAATTTTTTTCCTAAAAATTCATCTTTTATTCTTAATTCAGGAGAGGGGCTTTATAAAAGGCTTTATATAAACGTAAGCCTAGTATTATAAAAACAGAATACATATGTGGTTTTGTTTATAAACATTCTCTACTTCATTAAAGAAAACTTATTAATACTTTTGCTCCTCATAACCAGTTTCTTAAATGGCATGTGCAAATTAATGATCAGTCTGTTATAATCGAATGAAAATATGTGTACTAGTACTTAATACTGTATTAATTTACAGATGTTCTTTTTTCCTAATTTTGGGGCAGTTTTTTTCTTTTTGTATTTTGAATTGGAAAAAACATCAGGAAGTGTATTTTCTTTGCATAACTTCCTGCCTGTCTCCTGTTCCGCTCCTTCATCCCCCTCCTCTGGGCTTTAAATTGCAGTATTTTAAAAAATAGCAAGTTTTATAGTTAGGGAACTGATTTATGTAAGGGCACAGCATCTCTCTTAATATTAGTTAGTACTTGAAGCAGTATTTGCCACTTTAGGGCCTTTGACTGAGCAGACAGAATTTAATTAAACAAGCAGCTTGACTGTGTAACTATTGAAGAAGGTTCATGAATGGGATAAGAGTTTCAGACTTGACTGAGTTTAAGAATAACCCATAGGCTTGTTTAAATGCAAATTAATAGGCTCAACGCCCAGACATTTTGATTATGTAGAGTTCAGTGAGTGATATGCTTATTAAATAAAGGCTACAAGCCTTTTTAAATGTAGATAATACTTGAACTACATTTTGAGAATAGGAAAGAAGGGGGCTCCAGTTTGAGCTTGTTCTTTTCCTCAGTTCTTTGTCTTCCTTTGATTCATTGACTGTATGTCAAGTTTCATTAATAGGGAATCATGGTATTCTCTTTTGAATATCCTCCGTTAGGTAATATTAAGTGGATGATTCCCCTGGGTATGTAGGATTCTCCTGTATTTCAGTTGTAGGAGGGGGGATAGTAAGGCAAGGCTCTTTTCCCCTCTCCTCTCCTCCCTTCTTGTCTTCTATATGTTGCTGATTCAGATCAGCATGTTGCTGAAATTATTTTCCAAATCGTTGTGATCATAGAGATTTCCATTGTAATGTAAGATACCTAGATTTCAATTAACTTTGCTACTAATTGATGTTTAACTTAGAACATTATTTAATTAAATCATTATTCCTCAAGAAAGTGACACTGAAAAATTGGCAAAAACCTTTGCTGAGGATGGTGTTAGATTATATATCTAGATGCTTTAATTAAATACTCAGTTTTAAAAGATTGTTTAGAAGGAGTAGAATAACTGAGCAAGCATCACCCTTATTTTGAAAAGTAGAGTATACAGAAAGAATTTGGATAAAAAGAGAAGTAGTTTTATTAAAAATCAATTATTTTATAATTTAGGATTACTAGCACATGATTTAAAAATCAAGGGCTTGCCCTGGCCGGTTTGGCTCAGCGGTTGGAGCGTCGGCCTGCGGTCCTGAGAGACCCGGGTTCGGTTCCCGCTAAGGGCATGTACCTCGGTTGCAGTTTGTCCCCGGCCCTGGTCGGTTGTGCGGGTGGCAGCCACTCGATGTGTCCCTTTCACATCGATGTTTCTCTCTCTCTCTCTGTTCCTCTCTCACCCCCCCACTGTACCTGAACAAAAAATGGAAGAAGTGTCCTTGGGTGAGGATAAAAAAAAAAAAAATCAAGGGCTTGCCAGACTGGTGTGGCATAGTGCTTGAGCATTGACCCATGCACCAAGAGGTCACTGGTTCGATTCCTAGTCAGGGCACATGCCCAGGTTGTGGGCCAAATCCCCAGTGAGGGGCATGCAGAAGGCGGCCAGTCGATGTTCTCTCTCATCAGTGTTTCTATCTCTCTCCCTCTCCCTTCCTCTCTCTCTAAAACCAGTGAAGAAAAAAAATCAAGGGCTTGCTAGCAATCAACAACCTCTTTGGTCTCTTTGGTCTTCAATACTAAATAGCCTTGAGGACGATCTGTGCTAATATTCAAAGAGCAGTAACATTGAGCCAAAAGACTTGGCTTCTACCTTATTTCCAAATTTTGTGAACATGGCTAATTTATTGACCTTTTGAGATCTACTTTTTTATTCTAAAAATTGAAAATAATACCACATAGAGTTGTGAAAACGTAGGTTATGTTATGTGAGATTGATTTGCAAACTTTAATATTCTTATTTGAATATAACTGGAAATACTGGTGCTACTGAGATGACGACGAGGTGAAGAAAATGAGAGGAGAAAATAGAAATAGAAAGGGGACTAAAAGATAGGGAACAAAAAAGTCTACATGTATTTTTCCCCCTTCTTATTGAATTTATTGGGGTGATACTGGTTAACAAAATTATATAGGTTTCATGTGCACAGTTCCACAATGCATCATCTGTACACTGTATTGTGTGTTCACCCCCGCCCCAAGTCAAGTCTCCTTCCATCACCAAAAGCCAAATTTTTTTTAAATTAAAAAAATGTATTTATAGAGTGGTTCAGTATACCAACAGTTGTCTCAGGGGATTTCCTACTCCTTTTCTACTTTGTTACATCTGGAAGAAGTTGGATAAAATTGTTGTACCATGCAGGTTGTTTAGCTTTAGTTTTGTTGGAGAGTTCATACAGTCATCTTTCTGTTTTTATCCTTTTGATTATAAATGAAACAAATATAAGATGAGAAACTTTATACATGTTTAGCAAACTCTAATACACTTATTATATTAACACAGGATCATGAAAATAGAGTTGACCTGTGAACAATGTGGGGGTTAGGGGTACTACCCTTGCACAGCCAAAAATTGATGTATAACATTTTTGATTCCCAAAAACTTAACTACTAATAGTCTTCTGTTGACTAGAAGTTGTACTGATAACAAAACATATTTTGTATGTTATGTGTATTATATACTGTATTTCTACAATAAAGTAAGCTAGAGAAAAGAAAATGTTATTAAAATCATAGAGAAGGGAAAGTTTATTTACAGTATTTATTGAAAAAATATAAGTGGATTGAGTTGCACACTTCAAACCCCTGTTGTTCAAAGCTTAACTGTATTTTCTTAAATTTTAGGAGAATACTTGTGTTTGGTGTTACTGCACTTTACACAGTATTAAATTAATGACATAATTTATTTAATGGTCTTTTTTTATTTTTATTTAGGCATCTTATATGCTCAGTGTAGAGTTTTATAAAGTTTGATATAGTTCTTATAATCCAAAGTAGTAAAATGTAAAAAGTATTTACCAATTTGCTGAGTAAATTATTGTGATTTGAGAGAAACACAAAAATATCCTGATCAATGCTTTTTCCTTTTAAAATTTTTGACAATTTTATTGAGATATCATATACCATGAAACTCACCCATTTACAGTGTACAATTAAGTAGTTTTTAGTATATTTATAGAATTGTACTATTATCACTATTAGCTTATTTTATTAAAATGTTTTAGAAAGTTTTATTTATTGATTTTTTTAGAGAGAGAGAGTGAGAAAGAGAAACATTGATTTGCTGTTCCACTTATTTAGGCATTCATTGGTTGATTCTTTATGTGCCCTGACTGGGGATCGAACCTGCAACCTTGACATATTGGGGCAGTACTCTAACCAACTGAGCTATCCTGCTGGGGCCACTACTAGCTACTTTTAGAACATAACCAGTGGAATTTTTTTTTAAGATAAAACATTTATTGGCAATTATCTTTGAAGATTTTGGGCCAATTAAATATATTAAATCTCATTTGTACCTGTGTGTAAACACACAGATTCCTAGTATGTGTACCATTAAAGCCTTTTGTTGATAGTTATTTGGAAGGATAGAAAAGTAATTTTTCAAGTAGGTTTGAGCACATTGACAGTTCTCAAATATAATGTCCAACCTGACTGATCTGTATGTTTCTGGATCCAGTTACTAGTCAAGTTTCAGGAAGCATGTACTGACAAGCTGGCATACATGTCTGTCCCTTCCCTCCCTGTTTATCCTAAATTTGGAGGCTTAGTGTCTCTACTTATAATTCTTTCTACTTTCAGCTTCTGGTCTTCTCAGAATTGATTGGTGATTGATGTTAAAGCAGAAGCCAGGCCTTCTGTTTTTCCATTTGACCTACCTGGCCCTTTTCTTCATTTTGGGAGGTATAGAAATGAAGATGATAGTCAGCCCTGGCTGGTTTGGCTCAGCAGTTAGAGCGTTGGCCGCGGGCCAGAGAGTCCCGGGTTCAGTTCCCACTAAGGGCGCATACCTGGGTTGCAGTTTGTCCCCGGCCCCGGTTGGATGGCAGCCAGTTGATGTGACTCTCTCACACCGATGTTTCTCTCTCTCTCTCTCTTCCTCCCTCTCTCCTTCCTGCTCTATCTGAAGACAAATGCAAAAATGTCCTCAGGTGAGGATAAAAAAAAAAAAAAAAATGAGAGTCAATGCTTAGTATACTTTCTAAATATATTGGGAAGAGCCTGATGAAACTTGAAACACATATTCTCATAATTTATACAATCAATAATACTCATTAATGAGAGCTAAATAAGTCTTCCTTCAACTTCCTAAGTGCCCTCTCCCTTGTCTTCCTTCTCTCCTTCCTTCCCTTCCTTTTTTCCCCTTGTCTTTTCTTTAAAGGAACTAGTATCTCATCTTTACTATGCAGTTATTTGCAAGTCTTTTGATTTTTTTCCACATTTTATTTATTTATTTTTTATTATTAATACTATTGCAGATATTCTTCATTTTCTCCTGCTTTGCCCACCTCCACTCAGCAATCACCTCCCACCCCCCACACTTCTGACATTCACCACACTGTTGTCTGTGGCTGTGGGCTATGCATATATGTTCTTTGGCTAATCTGTTTACCTTCTTTCATCCAGTCACTCCTACCCCCCTCCCCTTTGATATCTGTCAGTGTGTTCCATGTATCCATGGCTCTGATTCTATTTTGTTCATCAGTTTGTTTCATTCATTAGATTCCATATGTAAGTGAAATCATATGGTATTTGTCTTTCTTTGACTGGCTTAT